TGAAAAAAAAATTGGAATGAAATTTGTATTGGATAGATTCTCGGAAGGAAATTCAAGTAAGTTGTGACGAGTTCCTGCCGCCAAAGTTGATGTGTCCCTATAAACAGAACTATTCGTATCCGCTCCTAGCGAAGAAGCCTGGCGCCGTGACCTGTCAGAAGTTTCGCGCAAAGCAAATGCGAAATGCATCTTCAGAGGGATCAAACTATGTGTTGAGTGCTCAGCACATTTGGTAAGGTGCAGATTCTTGTTGGTAGGTTCATCACTTAAAGACAGCGCCCGCGATGGACTTTGGCAGGTTTTAGGGGTCAGATTTGTTAGAACAGGTGGCAAATGAAGCATTAATCAAAAAAGTAGGAAAAAAGGGGTGCAAGAACATGGAATAAGATATTCGCTTTAAGGCATCTGGACGAGTTCCGCAGATTTTGGGTGAGTTCTCCAAATACACGTCGCCGCCTCGTTGCGGCTAATTCTCATGAGGCCTACTACCTAGGTTATCTTATCTAATCTAATTAATCCACGCTGGCATTGATAATCGATCTGTCTATGAGTTAATCTCTCTATCAGTGTACGAAACGAACGCTAGAAATTTAGCGATTATCAATGCCAGCGAGGATTGATAATGGAAAACCAGTCGAGGCGGGATTAACAGGACAGGCGGGTCAGCTTAGCATTGTTGACTCCGCCTTCGTCAATCAATCGATTTCGAGCCGCAAGAGTGGGATATCCGCTGTGGTTGTGGACTCCGCAATCTGGTTTTTTCACCTTGCTGATCGCGGACGCGGCCTTTAAAGGCAATTCCCGCGACCACACTTCATAGGTAATACAGTTCAAAAATAGAATTGCCCTGTGATTGTTGACTTATTGAAGAGAAGGAACCACGAAAAAGCGCCCGCAATAAGACCCTCTTTATTCAATTGATCATGATCACCGGACGAGCGTAAGGTGGTCAAGATCGATTGTGGATGCAAAAGGCGGCGAGACACTGATAAGAGACGAGAGAGGCCAGAAAATGACGGGCGAGAGAGCGCAATGGCAATGTCACAACGACACGGTCACTGGAGGCCGGCATGGGCCTATCGGGCGCCAATGGGCCTAAAACATGAGCGCCGTGCGTTCTGCTTGCTGTTTTTCAACTTTTAAAAGCAGCATATCCTCTACTGTTGCCTGCTTGATCATCATGCACGTTTATGAGGTTCTAGCCTTAGTTTATCGCGGAACGTGCCTTTAAGAGTAAAATGGCGAAGTGGAGGGAACACTAGCCACGAAGGCCCAGTACCCTGAATGACTCCGCCCACTTGATGAATACCCCTTCAAAAACAAACGCTGTGCACCCATTTGATCGTACCTATAATTGCAATCAGTTGGGAGCCGTACAAGGAGGGCGGGATGAGCCCGTCTCCGGCTCTTCTGTTCTACAAATGGCAACCTCTCAAGAAAACAACCAGTGGTGGAAACGCGGCAGGTGGGCCCATTTCCATCCTTTGAAACCGACCTGGGTGATTTCGATAGAATCAGCTGTACTTTGTAGAAGAAGAATATTCCAGTCTGTAATGTCAACGCTTTTCGTCATGTCTTACCTTGTCAGGAGCTTTTGGACCGAATCCTTCTGTGGTTGGGACTAGTTGGTGAGCTGATCTACTCAGTAGCAGGGCTTGTTGGACTGACTGGAGATGCCCAATGGCAAGCCATTAGCATTCCTTCTGTTTTTTGTACATATATTCAGACTCATACAGGTAAGAGCAAAACGTGAACTCCTTTTTGCCTATCTTACCCTTCAACTTCCTTATTTACTGACGATTTGTGTTATTCAGGTTGGAGCCCAGACATTCCTGATCTATCTGGCTTCGAGAGTAAAAGTTGGCACAGCATCCAGACATAACCAACCAGGAAAGCAAGCAATTACTTTCCTCCTAGCAGCTAATTTGTCGATTTTCTTGATGAATCTTTTTGAAAGTGAAAAACCAGGCATCTCCGAAAGTATAATAGGTAAGATAGACGTTTCTGCATGCACTGTACAAACGTAGTGAATGGTGTTTCCATATTCCAGATTTCTACGGGAAACGGTCATGGGTATTCCTGGTTCGCAGTTTTTCTCCACTGACGATCTTTTATCGATTTCATAGCTCTGTTTGCCTCGCGGAAATTTGGAAAAATGTCTATGCGAATAAATAA